TAAATAAGGCCGTAAACATTTCCTTACATCGTCAATTTCCATATTCTATTTTTACTCTTTCAATTTCACTGACCAGCGCCGCAAACGATATCAACTAGTAGGCTAACAACCAGAATTGAAATTTAATACGCAAATACTTACCGTACTACAAGTATACAGAGAGTAGATTTGCTACTCCCTTTTGGCAGCAGCAAATATCTCTCGTACGCGATTAGGGAAAGTAGAGTACGTACTTTGGTGGAGTAATAGCAAGTACGTCAAGTATTTACTCCCTCAACGCCAAGTAGTGTATGTATGCGGAAAAAGAGTAACAATGTGTTGGGAGTAGAGTACAATGCAAGGAGTACTTATTGAACGAAATGCGGCAAATACACTTGCGCTGGACTCTAGTACGTACCTACATAACTAATTTAATGCATGTGCTAACAACGCAGCAGCATCTCTTGAAGGCCTTCGGAGCAGCGCAGCGAAATCAAGCAACGAATAAAGCAGCATACTGTAAGTAATTTCTCTTCTTCTTCCTTTTTATTTAGTTTCTGTTCACTAGTATTATTGATATTTGATAAGAGAAAAAAACCCAGGTAGCGTTTTTTTTTGTTTCTCAATTATTGATTGTATGTACTTGCCTAATTAGTTTCCCTAATAGCTTTGTAAATCGTTTATAAAAGAACAAAAATATTTGAATTTCGCATCTCTTGTGAGTAGATGAGTAAGCAATAGTATCGTAAGACTTAAAGCTAAGTATGTATAATGTTCTATGTCATGAATAATAATATGGATTGGTAAATACAACAAAATTTGGTTGAAATCCTAAAGGAATTGTTGGCGGGTAAAAGGGGTTTCGATAAAAATCTACGGAAACCATGGTAGGGGGGGTTAAGAGCACCCTAAATTACATCTCTAAGCTGCTAGGCGCTTAACCTTTCGATTAAATAGGAATTGCAGAGATTATTGTAGAGGCGTGTCGGTTCGCCGTTTTAGTTTGTTTTCCTCGTAGTAGTTTCTTTCAGTGTGCAAACAATCTTTTTCTTGTGTGTGGGTTTTTTTTGACGCGTGTGTATAGTAGAAACCTTTCGTCCTCCCTGCCACGAATTAACCGGACCCATGAGACTGAAGCAGCTGGTATTACTGCGAGTGCACACTATATGGCAAAG